AAAACATAAGATTAATCCAAATAACAAATACCCAACATCATTCATGCACTAAACAATCACACCCATTAAGTACCCACACTAGGATTGAGCCACAACCCTAGCTAATGGGTTTAGCTAGCCATAATAAAAACAGAAATTTAAGAAATAAAAGATGAAACAACCATATTAATTAATTGCTAATGTTAAACTACAATAATCTATGATGAAAACTAAGCTAAAAATGCCCAAGATAGGCCAAAATATGAGTCTCACGAGCTCAGCTGCTATCCGCCCAAAAACAGAACTAAAAAAACTGCTCCTAAAAAGTAAAATGTTCTATTTATACTACACAGGAAAAACCGGACAAAAATACCCCTGAGGGTCTGGCGCGGACCGCGCACAAATGACGCGCGGCCGCGGAGGGTTTTGGGTCTTCATATCTTGCTTCTGGCACTGGGGACGCGGACCGCACAAAAGTGACGCGCGGCCGCGTGAACTTCATCCACGCGGACCGCACTGATTAGATGTGCGGCCGCGTGGGCTTTTGCCTTGAATGATTGAGTCTCTGACACTCTTAGGCGCGGACCGCTTGAAAAGGAGCGCGGACCGCGCAACTTGACTTAAAAATGGCATGGCCTCTCAACTTTCCTGTGCGTCCGCGTGACAAAACAGTGCGGACCGCACAGATCATTTTGTTCCCCCCTTTTGTTGTCTTTTGACACTTGGCAGATTTCACTCCTTTTTGAGCCGATCTTTAGTATTTTTCATCTTGTCGCTCAAACATGCAATCAAGCGCAACTTGTAAGCATTTTGGGACCAATTTATGGCAGTTAATGCACAAAGCTTAGGTAAGAATGGGTATAAAACATGTAGAAATCACAGTTATCACCTATCCTTAAGTTCTGTGCTTGTAACTCTAAGTTAAGGACTACTTGTCCTTAACTTTTGAACTTGTAAGTCTAAGTTTAGGACCTATTGTCCTTAACGTTTGAACTTGTAAGTCTATGTTCAGGACCTATTGCCCTTAACTTTTGAACTTGTTAGTCTAAGTTCAAGACCAAGTGTCCTTAACTTTTGAACTTGTAACTGTAAGTTCATGACCAAGTGTCCTTAACATTTGAGCTTGTTAGTCTAAGTTCAAGACCTATTGTCCTTAACTTTTGGGCTTCTTAGCCTAAGTTCGGGACATATTGTCCTTAACTTTGAGCTTGTTAGTCTAAGTTCAGGACTTCAAGACATATTGTCCTTAACTTTTGAACTTGTAACTGTAAGTTCAGGACCTATTGTCCTTAACTTTTGAGCTTGTTAGTCTAAGTTCAGGACTTCAAGACATATTGTCCTTAACTTTTGAACTTGTAACTGTAAGTTCAGGACCTATTGTCCTTAACTTTTGAGCTTGTTAGTCTAAGTTCAGGACCAAGTATCCTTAACTTTTGAACTTGTAATTCTAAGTTCAGGACCAAGTGTCCTTAACTTTTGAAATTGAAACTCTAAGTTAAGGACCAAGTGTCTTTAACTTTTGAACTTAAATACAGATATTTTAAATATTTTATCCTTTTCTGATAAATTCACTTTTTTCTTCCATTTTGACTAAAGGTTTACCCAATTTAAAAACCATAGCATGTAAAAGTCAAAAGAGAAGGAGAATAAAAAAGGTGATCATGACTTAACACCTAATTCCCTCTCCATAGGATCTCAAGGCACAGTAGGTATAGTAGTAGTAGTAGTAGCAGTAGACTCATTAGAAAAAAATACAGTGAATTTCTATTGCTTATATGCAATGTTCAAGGAGTAGGTCTTGTATTTTCCTTTGACTCAATCTCCCATTCTTCATTAACTACATACTCTGGCATAGCTTTTCTGAGATCATAAAAAAGGAGTCACTTTTTAATTGACAAAAGACAAAGCAAAATATACCGAAAGAAGACGATAAAGAAAAAAAAAGAAAATGGAGGTTGGGAATGGAAGAAGAATATGCAGAGAGAATAGCCCAGAAAGAATATGCAGAGAGAATAGCCCAGAAAGAGAATCTGAAAATGGTGTATCTATCCAACATGTGATATCACTGTATTTCCGTTTGGGAAGGAAAGGGTAACAACGTCCTTTCATATTAATTTTAATAAACGAGTGGCTATTTTTGCTTAGCATTAAAAATGATAGATAAAAAGTAAATACAACTTTAAATAGTGGCTACCCCATACAATTTTTACTAAATAAGTAAATGGATGAGTGGAAAAGCTGTTATTGTTAGAAGATGAAAGAGTTAACTATTCAATGCACATTTTAAGGACTGATATTAATCGTATAGATAATGGAAGATGAAAGTTATTCTAAATTTAATAGATTACAATAAATGACATTAACTTTAGAAATATATTCGTCAATTTTTCAAATCAAAACCGTCTGTTCACATTTTACATTTAATATATGTACTATACAATTTATTATATATTGAAATGTAAATTTACATTTTAGTAAATTCGATTGACATTTTCATTTTCAACTTTAATTAGACTTAGTACTCCTAATTAATTAATTAGATATTTAATTAGATTTTAATTTAATGTAGGGTAAAATGGTAATCCAATTTTGAAGGTAGGAGCTTCCCACTTTTAGTATAATATATAATATATTATATATGATATATGATGATATGATATGATGTAGCATATTAAGTTTATAAGGAATTTGCTACAATTACAAAAGGATAGAGGTCTAAAGCATATGAGAAAAATTTAATTGAACATGAGATGTCAAATTCAATGTATATTTCATTGTCAATATGCTGGAGTATGTGTGCGTGTTTGTATCATAATAAAATATCGCCGAGATAATTAACTGAATTTTTTTACCTTTAAACGTATATTTAATGTTAACTCAAATACCACAGGATTTGTACGTCACTGAACATTCTTATCCTAAATTTGGGCTATCATGTATTTTGCAGTCAACTGTTATTGGTTGCAAAGTTGCCTATGAAAGATTTGCTTAAATGTTACCACTTGCTTCAATTAATTCATATTAATCGTTTTTCTTGTATACAAATTTTAACTGAGTCGTACACGTGAAATTTCATATTAACTAACATGATCCGACACCGCTTGGATGGAAAATTTTATTTATTAATATATATATATAAATAATCTGCAAAAGAAAATATAGTCTAAATATAATAAATGGCACAACTTGATGTTAACAACTATGTTGGCCCGTTGGTGAAGTAATCCAGTTTCTGCTTGTGGTGAGGCGTTCGACTCCCCACGGTGAAAACAGCTTTATTCTTAATATTTTTTAGTATTCTTCTGGAAATTTATTGAAAGAAGCAGCGTCCTATGGATTCGAATGGATAATGAGCTATTGAGTAAATTTTTGCTGCCTTATATAGTTTTTTTTTTGGGTAATATTTGTACTGAGTCTATTATGAGTACATTTTATAAAAATAAAAGTTCGTGAGGGAGAACTATACTACTATATTTGAATTGTGTTTTTCTAAAGTGTGATTTCATTAAAGTAATCTCTTCGTTTGTACGTCTCTCTAAATTTCGACACCGCTTACAAAAAATTCTGCGTACGCCCCTGCTAACAGGGACAAATGCAGACGTGAATACTAAATTTTTCATCTCACAAGTTCAAAAACATAATAAATGAGTGTTGCATCTTCTTTAATTGAGTGACGCGGAATACACGTTGTATCGCACGATACCCTAAAGCTAGTGCACTTATATTTGGATAGCTTCTATCAGTTCAGACATAAGCTATCCAAATTCGATTCACTGGAAGTCCGTGTAACTCGCAATGGATCCTAGGTGTAGCATATTTTGTCTTTTCCTTAAATCCCCTTATTAGAATCCTAGCTCTACCGCGGGAGACAGACTAAAACTACCCAACTTTAAGTAGATGTTTTAAAGAAGCATGACTGCATGAGTAACCTGTAGTTGAGCTTCGAGAATCACTTAACCTATAATAAACGGATGAAATATGGATATCATTATTCACTATTATTAAACCATAATCATTTCAAACATGAGCACAAATTGAAGTGATATTATCATTGTTCCATTAGCCTTCATTGAGGGGAATGACACGAAGAGACAATGTTTGATTTTACCTTTTTTGTGCCCCTTTTAATTTACAGCATAGCAACTTATCTTAAGTTGGAAGAAGTTGGAATTGCACAGAAAAGCCTGGACTTGGCAACAAGAAAAGATATGCAATAAGAAGAGAAAAGTTACATCTGGTCGTCATGGAACAACCTTTATGTTTTTTGACAACTCAAACAAGCCAGGTATCACATCCCTGTTACCTTTTTTTTCTTTTATTGACACATGAGGAAGATAAGAGTGGTGTTGCAGCTGTTTCACAAACTCCAAGTGCAAAGGATATCAAAGTCGAGGAGATTTTCCTGTGTCTGCAGCAGCACTACGGTAATCATATACGCCGATGCCTCGCTTTTTACCAAGTCTACCAGCATCAACACACTGCACAAGGAGAGGGCACGGAGCATACTTATCGTCTCCTAGACCGACATGAAGAACTTTCATGATCGACAAACAAACATCCAGTCCAATAAAATCTGCAAGTTCCAAAGGACCCATAGGATGGTTGGTTCCTAGCTTCATTCCTGTATCGATGTCTTCTTTTGTTGCAACTCCGGTATAAAGTGTATGAAAGGCCTCATTAATCATAGGCATCAAAATTCGGTTTACAATGAAGCCAGAATAATCCTGAGAACAGATAACTGTCTTACCAAACCTGCAAATAATAGATAGTCAGAAATTAGTTACAGATTTCTTCCCATTTCCAGAGGATAAGAGACTAGTCTTTTGCAAGTAGAGGATAAGAGAAATTCTTTTGCCTTTCTTTTAATTCATCTCATACATTGGAAATAAAGATACTGTATAATTTCTGTCCATGCTGCTTGTGAAGCATTATAAAACAACTTATGTAGAGATGTTCAGGTGACTAAAGAATCTCACATCTTGTGACAGAGGACACCTAATAAGGACCCTTTCTCGTTTTTCGGCTGCATCTTTCAATCAATCAACTATGTCTCTATATCAAACTATCTGTGTTACCTATATGAATCCTCCCATTTCATTCCGATATGGCAATCTAAACGAAAATAAAATCTAGGAAATATGACATGAGGCACAATTTCCTGAAATATCCACCTAAAGGAAAAATATTTATACTCAATCTGAAAAAGCTTAAAGACTTGAGACAGCAACAATTGGATGACAGGTTCTCTAAGCCAATTATCTAAGATAAGCCAATTGTAAATTTTAGTTCTTAAAACCATCACAGCGCAACTGCGCAACCCTCCTTGACCATCGCAGGGTTTTCCTAACAGTTACCTCTCTGCCAGGCATTTAGTGGCACAATATGTGTCTTCTGATGTATCTGCACCCCGAATAATCTCAACCAGCTTCATAATAGGTGGCGGATTCATAAAGTGCATGCCGATCACCTGCCCATGAAAACATAAAAGAGAGAAAAGCTATATGAACCCTAAGCAGTTGATGGGTATGCGTAACTGGAGTTCCCTTTAAAGAGGCACAGAGACAGATAGAGAGCGCATATCAGGAAAGGCAAATGATTACAAGTGTCTAGTTCGTTGTCAACTTGTGTTGAGGATTTGATATTCCCTAATAAGTACCAGAATTTAGGAGATAGAAGAAAAAAAACAAATATATATGAGACACACATGTATACATGAGAAAAAAGAAAAGACAATCCAAAAAGCTACTATCAAATTGAATTGACTAGTGAGTTCTACGTAATAATAATATGCAACAAAAGTAAAGAGGGATAATTCTGTTCTATCCACACATTTAACTCTCAACTTCTTTATGAGATAATTAATCCTCCTTTAAACCATCACTTGGAGAAATAAGGTTTCTTAGCAGTTACTGTGACCATCACTCTGCAAAAACATCTTTCTTCACCCTTATCCATGTCCATGTGACATTCCAACAGTCGTTTTTAGCAGCCACTAAAAAGGATCTTGTTAGTCCCATGTCTTCTGATTAGCAGCGAGGAGCCTTACACCTTCAACATTACCACCCATTTTATTCACTTAACAAAATTAATTCCTTCACATTCCAATATTATAATATTCCATCTGTTGTTCCACCGATATATAGGAAATCTTATCACAAAGTAAACTGAATTATGTGTAGAGGTGATGACGACTAAAGATGGGATATACAAACTAAAGTGCAACCATAATACAAACCACAGCAAATCCTACCAGTTTGGGGAGGAGTGCCTAGATGGTGAGATTCCATAAGTCTAAAAAGAAAGAAAACAAGATAAAGATAATTTCCCCACATCTTCTTTCTGAAGGATTTAAAAATAGGAACTGAGCAAGAAATTTTGTGCAATTGTTTGAATCTTGGCATTTTCCTGAACTTCAACACACATATTTGCATTGCAGTAAAGTAGTTCCGCTTTCAATAAGTTTCATAAGCCAGTGTTCAGTGTATAATTGATCGACAGCCAAAGTAAAGCAAACCTGGCAGGGTCGGCTCGTTGCAGATGCTAGACGAGTAATGGATATAGAGCTTGTATTAGAAGCCAAAATAGCAGAGCTCTTTACAATCTTATCCAAGTTGGAAAATAAAGATTTCTTCACTTGTTCGGATTCCACAATAGCCTCGACAACAAAATCAACTGAATGTAAATCTTCCAAGCGGGATGAACACCGTAGACGTCTTACAGCGTCAGCACTTTTTTCCTGTTTTATCAAGAGGTTATTAAACACAAAACTCACCGCTGTTCGAATTTCCTAAAAATTACTCCAAACAACACCTTCCAAGAGTAGGGCAGTATTCGTAGCTTCAAAATCTAACTGTCCTGGCCCATTTGATACACAATATGTATATTTAAGTTATTTTTCACTTTTATTTTTATCTGGTATGATTATGACATGAGTTGAGCTTAAACGGAAAAGTGAGGATTCATATAGCTAACCTCAACTCGTTTGGGACTTTTAATTGCATGCTATTTCAAAATCTTTTGAGGAATCAATTTCTGAAATTCCCTCAAAAAAGTTACTGTAGATATTTTGACCTTATATTCTGGAAACCCATTATTCTTGTCGGAGGGAGTGTTTAGCAGCTTATTCTTGAGCATTAGACAAGTAATTCTAGCTAAACCTCTTTTGGAAAAGGTAAAATTAAAAGTAAAAAGGAAGAAAAAAGTGACAGCTTTGAATTCAAATGGAAGAAAAAAATATTCAGATAGTAAGTAGGAGCGGTGAAGAAGGAAGGATGAAGAAATACCTGAGAGAGTTGTCCTTTGGAGAGGAGGCGTTGAATATTATTGGAAATAGAATTTTGGGCTTTAATAAGAGCTTCAGAATCAGTATCGTAGAGCCAAACGTCGATGTCGTTGACGGCGGCGAGTTGGGCGATTCCGGAACCCATTTGACCGGCGCCGATAACTCCGACGCTTGTGATATTGGCCATGTCTGTATCAGACGATCACCAACAACAAGAAGCTACCTAAGCAGAGCCAGACACGTTTATGTACTAATGCTAGGTACTTCTCTGTCCCAAAAAATATGATAATTTTTGCATTTTAAGTCATATAAATTATTTTTTTATTACTCACTATTTTTTTATATATCTTTTAAATAATATTTTATATATAATTTTTAACTATATAAATATATTAAATAATTTAATATTTGAATCTATAATTAGATTAAAACTTTTAACTTTCGAAATCCGAAAGTATCATTTCTGTGACGAAAGTATCATCCGAAAGTAACAGCTTGTTCAGAGGAAAAAAAAATTATCCTTGTCTTGGGGTGCACACCAAATCCTTTTGTTGTTGTGGGTAATATTTCATCGTTTCAAATTGGACGAGATATTTTTTTTTTGGTTCCGTTCCAAATTAAATGACATATTTTTGAATTTGAAAATAATTTAATTTTAAATTTTTGATTTGATTCATTTTACCTTAATGAGAAGTTTTTATAATCACACACATATTATGACCCCACAAAGCTTTTATGCCTTAATTTGTTAACATCACAAGTTTTAAAAGTTTTTTTTTTTAAAACTTTGTCTTAATCAAACTACCTCATCTAAATTAAAACGGGGGTAGTATTATTTTTTTTCGACGTTGTTGTGGATAACTAAGATACACTATAAATCGATGTATTAAAGTTCAATACAATACTTGCCCTTCCTGGGATCGATAGTACCTTTTAAGTTTTTTTTTTTTTAATATTACAAATAATGCCAAGGCTGGTCAACTTAACATCCTTTACCGAAAAATTATGAATACTATGTATAGGGTAAAATATTATTGGGATTTTAAGTATATGATATGCTTAAAATAAGGTGAATGGGAAATGGATGGAAATGAAATTTTAAGTTCCCCCCCCCTCCCCCCGGCAAAGGGACATTGTCCCATATTGGAAGAGGAAGAGGTTTTTTATTGGTATATAAGCAATTG